CAACACGCACGAACAACGAGAGTGAACAACACGCACGAACAACAAGGGTGAACAACACGCACGAACAACGAGAGTGAACAACACGCACGAACAACGAGGGTGAACAACACGCACGAACAACGAGGGTGAACAACACGCACGAACAACGAACAATGAGCGTGAACAACATGATCAAATAACAACCAACAAGCACAAACAAGTTCGAACAACGAACAACGAGCGCAAACAATGAACAACGAGCGTTAACAACAAAGTCAAAGAACAAACGAGCGCAAAATAATGAATAACAAAATCGAACAATGAACAATGCACGTGTACAAACTGGAGCAATGAACAACGAGTGCAAACAACAAACAACATGGCCAACCTGAATCCCAGAATGTGGTACGTCTCACGTGCGTGCTACACCGAACGAACTCCAGTTACACACTTGTGCAGAACACGTTCACGATACCTTACTCCTGCTCACCAACCTACCTTGCCATCGACACGTATGATCCTCTTGCCGGTAGTTGTTCCGTGTTCAAACTCAATCCTATGTACGCCATCTGCTAGCGCCACGTCCCACACTCCGACCAGATCGGCAGACATCGTCTAGAAAGGCAGATACGGCTAAACGTCAAATCACAGCCGAAAAACCTGCGGAGTTACATCGACTAAATGATTTGTTGGTTCAAGGAAAGGCCACCAGGTGTCGCTGTCATGTCATATTGGCTGCAACCAGTAGAGGATTGGTGCAATTAATTCTAGCTACCTTTATTGAATGAGTTTAGAATAAGCATAGGCTGAACTATACAGTTTGTGGCCCTGCATTAATACAAACCAATAACAACATAAAATAGTTATAGCCACCTAGGGTGCACTCCATGGAAACCTATAGCTGCAAAACACAACTTGTTAGTTACAGTATGCCATGTAGCAGATAATAGCAAGTCCATAATAGAAATGGACTTTCTATTATGGACTCTTCATAATACGAACTGAGCATGCATACCCATTATCATGCTCTATTATGTTAGCTATAAATACTCCCCCCCCCCAAAGACTCTATTGGATATGCAATAATGACTTTGCCCCGTGTTGGTACAAGCTGTCTCAAAGAGAGCAGAATGCTCTGAGATTTCTAGCTGCTGCTTTTATCATGCTTACCGCATACTTATTAACTTACATTGTTTTTATATATCCAGCTATCGCATCTGACCTTACCTGATCAGATATGACCTGGCCGCTACCAGATATGACCTGCCCACCACCTTACCTGGTCACTACCAGATATGACCTGGTAAAGATTACATGTTTACGCAAAGTACATGAAATCTATGAATCGAAAGGCCGACTTAAAATGAACAGAACGCTGCCTTTCCTTCGTATTTAGAGATATATAGTATATATATATAGATAAGTAGTATACGGACTTCGTAGATAATGTTTGAACCTGGTTTATTTGCATACAAGGAACTGTGTTCGTGGCTCTCACACTCATCAGTGGGCGTAATACAGAGTATGTAGACCTGTAATTAAGGCACTGATGGAGTGTGGTAGCTTTGTACGCTCGGCAGCACGAGGAACCAGTTCTGTATGCAAAAACAGTCAATAAATTTCTAGCCCGTCGTCGATTAACTTTTATTCTATATTTTCTTACTCATTATGTACATTATTGAGCAGTCCGAGCACATCGGAAGTTTCATAAACAGCCATTGGGAATCCCTATAGTAGTTAGTATATATATATATAGTAAATTATATATATATATATATATATAAATATATATAGGTCAGCGTCGAACCTACGTAAGTACCAGCCATAGTCTCGACTTTGACTCGTATATGTTATACGTACTATAATATGTATGATAACAGGGGATACTTATGTTTGGGACGGTGTATTAGTAACTTGCTTCATTCACGTTTAATATATATATAGTATTATAGTATATATAAATATAAATATATATATATTTATAGTGGTCGTTATATATATGTATTCGTATGTAATATAAACTGAGATGGTGAAGATAGGTCTCTCTAGCACAGTAATCGTAGAGCACAGATAATAGGATCCATTGCGGGTATTTTCGTCGTTCTTTCCCGCGTCTCTCCGTAGCAGTCGCTGGTGATGATGGCGCCTGCAGTCTCTTCGCCTCGGGCCACCCGTGCCAGGTCGACTGAGACGGAGGTGTGTATGATGCCCGTCGCGTTTCCTTGCCGCTGCTTCACGGGCATTTGAGTGGTATGCGACGTGGCGGATCGCGATGCTGAAGTTGTGTCTCCGTACCGATCCTCTCCACAAACTCTGCCCTAATCGAGTTCGCGCGTCAATTTATCGATTAGGTAAACCGAATAGTTAATAATAATATAAAATAAATGAATTCATGACAATTCCTAATAACTTATATAGATTAATTACGACCATAAGTAAATTAATGAACACGATGTTCCAGATTACTCGAGGTGGCGAGGTGGAGGAGGGAGGGGGGTGCGACGGGGGAGATAAGGGGAGCGGAGAGAGCGACTTGAAAGAAGACATGTTTTTTAATGAAGCTTTGGCCAGAGATTTATACTATATGGACTGTGGCAGTGTGCAATAATTTGACACATGCTTGTGATATGTAATATTGAATAATGTGGCATGGGATTTTCATTGTAATTTTGATTTAATTGCAGTTGTTAAAGATTGAATCTGAACTTTACGCTAAAATGTCTGCAGGCTCATCGAAAATGAACTGCCAGTGTATAAATTAACAGATGATTTACATCATGGCATTTAACAAGGTTTGGTTAGAGATGTACACGGACGGACATACTGTAGTTTAGTATTATCGACCTAATGAGCAATCGACACGCACTCACGTCTCTCTCACAACACTCACTTCAACAAATAACAGACTTACGTCCGTCGTGTCTAATTTTTGACCGTGAGCACGCACCCAACGACATCCAGTGTGTCCTTTTCTGAAATGAAAGAGAACGACGCTGCGCAAATGAGTAAGTCAGGAGACTAGACAGAACATTTACAGGGTCAGCTTAGCTATTTACCATTCACACCTCCAAATCCCTCCACGCCGAGCTACCTCTAGGCGCGGCGGGAAGCAGCAGGGACCGCCACCGGTGACATACCTGAGGCAGCACGGGCGCCATCCTGTGTGGGAGATCTCACCCGAGTACAACTCTGGTCTGCACATCGTCGACACGCACCGATCAGCCGGGAGCCACAGGCATAGGGAGGCTGGAAAGGGGTCGGGCGGGAGGATTGACACGGAATAATGGAAAGGCGGCGAGACATTACATGCAGAGATGAATAGGAGGAGGGCGAGGGCGCGAGGGTTAAAAGGGGAAGAAAAATAGGGGGAAAAGTTTTAACAGGAGGGAGAGCGGGCAATGAGTCCAGTGGGTTGGGACACATAAGTTGGGACCGAGCGGGGGTGGGCCTAGATTGGACTGAGAGGCCGCTGTATCGACCAGCGTCCAGCACGTTTGTGATCTTCGATTTGGTCTCGGTGAAGCTTCTTCCCAGTCTCTTGCGTCACGTCGTTAGCCGGTGTCATTCGTAGGCGAATCGCTGCGACGGCCCCGTCGATGGTCGGACGCGGCAGCAGCGAACCTAGCCGATCATGGAAACTGTTTCCCTTACGGACGGAGCTTGACATCCAGCTCGCGACTACGAAATCTCCTGAAACAAAGCGCCGAAAACCGAACGAGCGGTGAACAACACACGCACGAGAACAATCGAACAACGAGCGGCGACACATGCGACAACCGAGGCGTTAAACAACAAAGTCGCAAACAACAAAAAAACGACGGCGCAAAATAACGAATAACAAACTCGAACATGAACAATTGATGCACGTGAACAAGCATGAGGCATATGAACAACGAGTGCAAACAACAAACAACATTTACAATGATACTGGCCAACCTGAACCCCAGAATGTGGTACGTCTCACGTGCGTGCTACAGTCCGATATGAACTACTCAGTTACACACTTGGCAAGAACACATTCCAGAGGATGTACCTTTGAACTGCCTGCTCAGCCACGAACATACTGCCATCTGGACTACCGTATGATGCCTCTATGCCGGTAGGTGCTGTTCCGTGTTTCAATACTCAAATCCTATGTACTGCCATCTGGCTAGTGCCACGTCCACACTCCGACCAGATCAGTAAGACAGTCGTCTAGAAAGGCCAGGATGGCTGGCTAAACGTCTAATCACACTTGTCCTTGCCGAAAAGTACTGGCGGAGGTTACATCGACCGTAAAATGAATTTGTTGGTTCAAGAAAGGCCCGACCAGGTGTCGCTTGTCAGTCATATTGGCTGCAACGCGAAGTAGAGGATTTGTGGCAAATGTAATTCTAAGCTACGACCGTTATATTGAACGATGTTTAAGTAGTAAAGCATAGAATGATAACTATATCAGTGTTGTGGCGCCTGCATTAATACATAACCAATTGAACAACACGCTAAAATAGTTATAGCCACCTAGGGTGCACTCCATTGGAAACCGTATAGCTGCAAAAGCACAACTTGTTAGTTACAGTATGACCATGTAACAGATTAATAGCAAGTCATAATAGAAATGTGACTTTCTATTTATGGACTCTTCATAATACGAGAGGCACTGGGAGTGGCATTCTGGGGCCAGTAGGGCCCCCGCATTATGCCCATGGCCTCTAGTTAATGTTACTATAAATACTACTAGCCCCCCCGCCCCAAAGCTCTATTGGATGATGCAATAATGACTTTGCCCTTGTTGGGTACAAGCCGTCTTAAGAGGATGGCAGTAATGCTACCAGATTTCTAGCTGCTGGCTTTTATCATGGCTTACCGCAATACTTAATTAACTGTTACAGTTGTTTTTATATATCCAGGCTAGTCGCATCTGACTTTACGCTGACCAATAGACCTGACCACACAACTTACCTGGTCACTATCAAGATACTCGACCTGACTCACTCACCATTGCCTGTCACTACCAGATACGACGCTGACCACCACCTTACCTGGTCAGCTACCAGATATGACCGACACAGCCAACCTTACCTGGTCACTACCAGATATGACCTGACCACACACCGTTAAGCCTGGTCACTACCAGAATATGACCTGACCACGCACCTTAACCCTGGTCACTTACCAAAGATATGACTCTGACCACCACCTTACCCTGTCACTACCGAGATATGACCTGACCACACACAATGTACCTGGTCACTACAAAAAGATAGTGACCTGACCACCTGACCATTAACCTTGTCACTACCAGATCTGACCGTGACCACCACCGTTACCTGACGCGTACCTAGATATGACCTGACGCACCACCTTACGCAGTGGTCACGTTACGCAGATATGACCTGATCCACCACCTACCGTGACCGCTACCAGAATATGAACTCTGACCACCACCTTGCCATGGGCTGGCACCAGGATAATGAACCTGACCACATCGTTGCCTTGCAATTGGATGACCACTCAGGATATGACGCTGTGACCACCACCTAGTATACGTAACCTCATAATAATATGTTAGGACCCAAAAGATATAAGAGCTGTAATTTGGGAACTTGCTCTGAGTCTTATATCCTACGCCAATAAATTGATGGCCCTTCAAGTCTTACCTAACTATGAACGGAGAGAGAAAGTGGAGAGTAGAAAGTGATCAGATCGATAGAATCAACACTGGCACTCGCAGATTGCAGTGGAAAGAGACAGCATTTTTGCACAATTTAACCTAATGAGAAGGGAAGGGAATTTACAATACGGAGAGCGCCAGACCTCCTGCCAAGGCAGCTCAAAAGAAGTTTCTGTCACACTTGACGTGTAAAAAATAATTATTAAATTAATTAAAATAATTAATGATCCGGATCACCACAATATATGTAATCAATTCTAAAGTTACCGCCATTTTCTCGACATATCCTGAAATG